GACGGTCAGATGAAATACAGCATCTGTAGCATTAGTTCACATTCACTCTTACCAACTCATGACCTCAGATATGGGGGAGTGAAGTGCATGGGACCAAGCCCAGTGAGGGGACACCCTCCCTTGCTCTTTGCTCTCTTGCTTAAGAGAAAGGATTGCAAATAGAGAAGTGTAACATTGAAGTCAGGCAACAAACCTGTTGGGGAAAAAGTAGGTATTTATTATAGAAGTTGGTTAAAATAACAAACATCATGCCTAATCCATAATCTCCAGAAAACTACAGTTAAAATGTTTCCTGCCAAACTAACAGATCTTTATCGTATTATTTGTTCTGTTTTGATAATGAAAGGTTTACCAGGTGGCCGTTTTGACCCTATGTGAAGGCTCTGCTTGCTTTGAAGCAGTAGCCTTTAGAACTGCAAATCAAAGGCTAACCTCCTTTGTAACTGTTCTGGCCTCTTAGACCTTCAGGCCAGCTGGGAATCAGCTCGTCCTAACAGGAGGAAAATGTAGGCTAGGATGAGGAGGAACGGTTTTCCTTAAGGCAGTCGTGATCCTCATTGTAATCTTGGTTAAGTGTTTACTAAGTGCCCAGCGCCATGCGGAGTGTTTTACATGCATTGGCTCATTTTGTCCCCACAACAACTAGATGTTACTTCCATTCCACATTTTGCTGCTGAGGAAATGGAGGCTTAAATACAGGCCCAGAGTCACTCAGCTGGTTTCAAACGAGTCTGACTATAGAATAGAAAGTGATAGCCTCTACTTTACAGTGCCTTATGGCCTCGAGGTAGAGTGTGTGTGCGTGTGCGTGTGCGTGCGTGCATGTGTGCATGTGTGTATACCTCAGGATGTATCTATTTTTATCCCTCTTCTTTGGAACTCTGTGCATCTTCAGCTTAAGGATTTTCTTATAACTTAAATTCTGGAAACTCTATCCATTGTCTCTTCAAATATTAGTACTTTCTCCCCCGTTCTTGTCTCTTTCAAAATGCCTGTTAATGTGCTGGATATTCCTCATTTTATACTCCAGACTTCTTAACTCCACATTTTCTTATGTGTTTATTATTCTAGGGTGCTTTTTAGTTTTCCACTGATATATCTAGTTCTCTTGCTTTAGTTTCATTTAATCTTGTTACATACATTGTTTTAAACATTTTTCTAATTTGAAAAGTTTTATTTGGTTCCTTGAAAAAACTGTACACCTCCCCAGACCCCTGCTCCCAGATTGCTCTGTTTTTTAAAGTTATGATCTCCTTTCTTTTCTTATCTTTGCACTACAGATCGTTCTACTACAAGAGTAGTCAAAGTGTGATCTGTGGGTCAGATTAGGCCCATGACCTATGTGTGTGCAAATCATGAGCTAAGAATGATTTTTAAACTTTTAAAAAGTTATTACAAAAATGAAAGAAAAATATTTGACAGAGATCAAATGCAGCCTGTAAAGCTTAAAATATTTACTTTATCTTTTTCTTACAGAAACAGTTTGTCAAGCTGTGTTCTATTATCACTACTTCTTGGTTTGGTCATCATTCTGATTTTTGCATCACACAGTCTGCCTTATGGAGTGTGTGAGTTTGTATATATGTGTTTATGGTTTGTAATTTTTTTATTGTGAGTTTATCTTTAGTGTGTGTCGTGATAGATTAAGGATCCCCACAGGAGAGGAAATGTTTTATAATTCTGAAGTATGGATGTGACATATACCAGAGTCTTAGCAACAGGAAGCACACTGGGAAAGAGTCAGCTGAGACTGGGTTAAGGGTTGAGATTAATACATCACCTGGCCATGGAGACTGGGTCTGGGAATATCCAGGGTTCCTGCTGAGTCCAGGGTTCTCATCTAAATCCCTAAGGTTGGCCTGTAAGATATATAATCAGGGCACTGACATCTAGGCTGGCCAGAATGATAATTGAGTGAATACTTCGTAGCCACACAGGGGTCTGATACCTTTGGGGAGATCTGACAACATGCAGCAGCACCCCTGCCAACTGCTGTATACTCTGGGCCTACCACCAAGTAGGTGCTTAATAACAGTCTGGTGAATGAATGGATGGGGAAGAAATGAAAATCAGGTCCATATTTTGGGTACCAGTAAGTACCAGGCAGGTATTTGCTGTGAACCTTTGCCCTAGACTACTAACCAGATAGGAAGAATCTGAAGAGATACCTCTAGTAGTTGCTTTGTTGATTCCCCTTGCAGTTTTCTACATAAACAATTACGTTATGTGCAAACAGGAGCAGTTTTACTTCCTCCATTCTGATCTTTAAGCCTTTTATTTCTTTTTCTTGCCATATTTCAATGGCTGGAACCTCTAGTATATTTTTGAATAGCAGTGATAAAAGCAGACATCATTGCCTTGTTCCTGATCTTCAGGAGAAAAAATTCAACCTTTCACAATTAAGTTTAATATTAACTGTAGGGCTTTTGTTGGTGTACTTTATTTCTGGAAAGTGATCATTGAATTTGGAGGTTTGATCTGATTCAGGTATAATATTTTCAGTGGGGAGGGGGCAGCACTACAAAGGTATAATTTTATCAACAGATGCGATATCTGGTTGTATCTTTTTGTGGTATTAACAGCCACTCATGATTGTTGCCTATATCAATTATTGTATTAAAGGTTACAAATGGTAATATTCTAATTCTGTTGATTTCTTCTTTATTTATTAGTTGGGATATTTCTGTGGAGAAACTTTTTCTTCATAAACTATTTAGTTACCCTGCTGTATAGTTCCTACAGGAAGTACAGAGAAATCTTGGTGGGTTTCTGTTTATCAGTTTTTAGAAGAGTGAGTTGGTTCCATATCATCCTCCAAAGGTAACAAAGGGCTTTTTTTAAATCCTCACCAGAGGATATGTTTTTTGTTGATTCTAAAAGGGGGGTGGGGAGTGGAGAGACACATCAATTGTTTGCATACTGTGTGGGTTGTGACTGGGGATTAAACCCACAACCTGGGTGTGTGCCCTGTCTGGGAATTGAACCTGTGACCCTTCGGTGCATCCTCCAACCAACTGAGCCACCCAGCCAGGGCAACTAAGTCTTTTTAAAATAAAAGATGAATTCACTATGTCCTTAAATCCATTCATTTGTCATTTTTATTGATGCTAAATAAGTGTGTACTTTTCTAAGTTCTTTTAGAACTTGGTATTTATTTTACTTTTCTTCTAGGTTTGTCATTGGGTCTTCATTCTATATATAATGCACATTTTCTGTTGAGATCTGAAAACATAAATACACTCTTGTGTGAGTTAAGGACAAAGGAGGGTATAATGAAAGGCTTGTTTCTAATATCTNACTTGCGTGAGTTAAGGACAAAGGAGGGTATAATGAAAGGCTTGTTTCTAATATCTTTGAATAAAGAATGGAGCTGTTTTCCATTGAATTACACTTCAGCTACATGGCATCATATTTAAGAAACCTTGGAATTTTGTGGGTAAAACCACAGAAGTCAAATTTTTCTTTGATTGGAACCTGCAGGAGAACAAGCTTTTGGTGTCAAGGCTCTTATGTTAGAGGTGATATATGTCAGAAAAAAGTCATAATTTTAAAAGTTCCTTGGTGAAATCAATCATGGGGAAACCCTGTTATTCCTGTGTAACAGCAGAGGAAAAAGTCTCTCTGACACATATTGTGTATTTCTGATGTAATGTTAACTTCATGTGGTTTAGCTATTTGACTTGAGGTGTGTGTACATAACCTTCTGAACACTCATTTAGCTTATAATATGCCAATTTCCTAACAATTATTATTGTTCTAAAGTATAACATTTCACTGTTCAACATCAGATATGTACACAAAGGGAATTAAAATTTATGGAGTTTCATGAGCTTAGCACAGTGTCTCTACATAGTAAATGTCAAAAATGGTTTCTATTTGCTTTATTGTCGTTCTTCCCCTGATTATAAAAATAATATTGCAAAATTTTAACAAAATAGGGATCACCATAATCCTGACTAAAAAGATATGTATTAAGTTGCATATCTAGACCTTCCTGTAAGTGTAGATACTCACACAGACATACTTAGATCTTGAAGGGTATTTACATTTACATTTACCAAAAAGCACAGGGGAATTCTTTCAGGCAAAATGTCATTTGATTTTTTTAAAAACTTCTATATTCTTTTAATGGTTTGCATTTTTGGCAATGAGCATATATATTGCATGTGAATACATGATATACACCTGTGTTTATATGTGCATGTATGTATAGAGGGGAGGGTGAGGAAGAAGGGAGGGACAGAGGAGAGGTCTACAGATAAGAGAAAATTTCTGAAATGAGAAGTACCAGCCTGGTTTAACAATTACAGATTGTATTTTTAGCAACATTTATTGTTAGTGCCTAACTTCTGTCCCAATATGTACGAGCTGAACAGAGAACTGGGTGTCATATGTTGGTGTTGGTTTAGTTTCATGAATTTAAGAAATTTAAGGCATTAATTAAAAGAGGTTATTTCATTTGATAATCTTAGCTCACATTTCTTTGGGATTGCTAATAACCTCCCCTCTCCATTTACCAGTGTAGTGTGTGTGCACGCACGTATCTGCATGTAAGTTAATGACATGAAAGAAGTTACTTTGTTCCTGGTTCTGTTGGGGAAACTGGGTGGATCCTGGAGATGCTTCTGTTTTTGCTGTGATTGTGTTGAGTCATACTTTATTCTCCGTAGATGGTTAGATCATTTGATATGCCCTTTACCTGTTACGTGAATTAATAGAGGATGATTGTCTAAATCATTCCTGTGAAAAAGTTTTCCTGTTTTTTGTTTGTTTGTTTGTTTCCTTTTGAGATTAGATAGTCATGTGTTTCTCAAGTTTTTGCCAAATCTCATAACTGAAGCCACTAGATTGCTCATAGAAGCCTCTTCATTCATTACTGAATTACTCTCCAGCACAGCTGCATCTTAACTAGTGCAAAAGGGTGTCTTAATGCTAGTAACATGGGACAGCCATTTAATACTGCTTTTCCTCAACAGTTTTTTGTTTCCTTCAATTTCTAGGATGTGGGGAGCATCTTGTACGCACCATACTGGCTAGAGAATGTTCACATGCTTTACAAGCTGAAGATGCTCACCAAGCTCTGTTGGAGACTATGCAAAACAAGTTTATTGGTAAGTATAACATCAGGAAAATTGCATCCTTCTAAATACAGGTTCCTTACTGTGCTGTATGCTTCATGAGTCAGGTATCACATTTTTAGTCTAGACCGAGGTACAGGGCCTGGCACAGACTTAGACCCTCAGTTAATATTGGCCATGAAAAGGATTCCATCACAGCCGCTATTGTACCATGAAATCTGCCATATAACTACTGTAATGCCCCAGCTATGAGATATTGTCCAGGATTTGAGTATATACAATAGAATACAATTCAACTAAAATAAAATTTAAGGTGCAACTTTCTTTTAAAGTTTTAAAATATAATTTGACTCTTTTTTTTTTTTTTTTAAAGTCAGCATTTTAAAATTCAGTATTTATGGGTCCAGTGCTACCACATACAGCTGTGTAGGGTTGAGTTGAAATACTGCTCGGGCTCCATTTGCCATCCATGTAAGGGCTTTCCCATCACTTAACATTGAGCTTATCACTGTGCAAAGATTTGTGAAGAACTATACGAAATAAAAAGCATTAAATGTTAGGGTAATTAGCCACGAACTCATCAATTAGAGGGGATGGTCCAGGGATTGGAGGGGAAATGGTGCTTTTAAGGGAGGTATCAGTAGAGAATGTAGAAGTATTAATAGACTTTGATTTTGACATTAGGAGGTAGTGTAGCCCTCTGGGTCCATTCATAGGATAGAAACCATACATTAGGTTAATCAGGGGAAATTTAATATGGAGAATTGTTAACTATGATGAAAGAACAATTGTAAGATATAAGGAAACTACGTGGTACTCTAGAGCTGAGAGAGTGTCCAAGGAAGGACATACTTGGAAGGGGCTCAGACATAGTTTGAGAAGGTGTGGTTTGGCCACCAGGTAGCAGAAAAGTTTACTAGTTTGGCCAGTATGGAACTGGTCTGGAGATGCTGGGTAAACAATAGGCCACACTCTGGAGTGCAGATAGGGTGCAGGTAATCAGCAGTCAGTGGCTGGGTGCAGTGGACACAGAGGTCACCAGAGCATACAGGCCATAGGGCACTTGCAGAGGGAGTGACTGCTTGGTGTTTGGCCCTCTGGACCACAGGGGCTGCATGTAGGTTGTGCAGGGCCTTGACAAAGGAGTCCTGACAGGTGAAGGTGTGCAGCCAGTGGGAGCCTCTGGTTTCCATGTTGAGAGGGCTGTAGACAGGCTTAGTTGCAAGGTCCCAGATGGACTGTGCTGTGAGTCTGTGACTGGGGAGGCTACCAGCTATCCTCACACCACACCACCTCTCCTGAGCCCATGCTGGAAGGGTGCCTATTTTAACTCTGTTTATGTTCTTTAACTCAGATTAATACCTAACTCCTTTCCTTTGTTCTAGTAGTCCCCTGGTCTCTTTTTACGTGGCACTTAGTGTTTGTCCTCTTTTCAATCTCCACTGAGTGATAATTGGATTCCAAGGAGCTTCTTTGTTGTCATCATGGGAGGGACTACCTGTTCCTCGGTCATCCTCCTCTGACTGTTGGCTTCTGCCAAGGTGGGATGTGCCCTCTACCCACCTATGGGCTCCTGGCCTCTGTCTCTGTGGAATTCAGTATGGTGTTTGTGGCTGCCTCAGTCGTGACAGCAGATGCTAGTGGTAGTGGAGTCAGGTGGTCTGCAAACTTGGAATAATCAGTGGGATTGCCAGTCCTCATGCACACCAGGCTACTTCTTCTGCTCTCCTCTTGCTGGCCTGAGGGTGGCATGGAAATGAGGGTCTCCCTATCTGCCCCTCTGTCTCTTTAGGCCTCACCTGTTCTTGAATCCTCAATGAGAATGACCTGAAGCACTTTATTGAATCTAAAATGACAAATTCGATAGCTAGTTCTCCCTTTCCAGATTTAGGTCCACACTAAGGAGTTAGAGCTCCATTCCTTTCTCTTCTGTCAGTTTGTTGTACTCTCTTTTTAAAAACTCTTCTCTTCAGAACTACTCACAGAGTTTGACTGCAGCATTTCATTTTGCCTCTGGATCCCATGACCTAGTGCACATTGAACACAGTCCTAAGAATTCCAGACTCAAATTTTTAAAACATATCTAAAATCTTGTATTTAAAACATGGTTTCCAGTTTTATTGTCTTTTCCTGACATGTGAGGTCAAGCAACTTTTCATATATAACTGGCCTTTTGTATTAATCTGTGAATTATCTGCTTATAGCTTTTGACAGTTTTTATATTGTACTGCTTAGGTGATATTCTTTTAATTTACAATTAACTTTTATTAATGGTAAAATTACCTTAAATGAAAGATTCTAAAATGGCATAGCAGAATTTAAAAATAACCCTGTCTATTTCTGAGTGGTGGTATGTTTGATATCTGTGACTCTCTGCACTAATAAGGGATTTTTTAAGTAAGTAATTTTACACTTATGATAAAATAATTTGCATTTATGTATTTTTTTCTAAAGTTGTCAGTGACTTATTAAGAGAATGATTTTTTCCTTTTTTTGCAATTTGAAGCAAACTCTGAAATATTACCTTACATATGGGTTCTTTAAAAATCTATTTTTGATGAGACTTTAATGGAGTAGAATGAATAGAGTAAAATTGAAAGACACTTGGAAGATTGAATTCTCTTTGTTTCTACTTGCATTACCATTATGCCAAGATCCAGAGCTTTGGTTTGAGTTAATATAGGAAGCATAAAAGAGAGTAACCAATTCATGCATTTTTAAAACAACCACTGTTTATGTAATATACAAACCCCATAAAAATGGGTACTGTAAAAATAGTGCCTTAATAATACTCCATGCTAACCAGCTGATTATAGACTGAGTGCTTAGTTAAGTAGGGAAAAAATAAATAGATTTCCTCTTTAGTTGTGTTTTTTAAGTGATCACACACACACGCACACACCCTTACAATGATTCAGATGTGACTTTTCCTATTCATGGTTATTTTTGAACGAACTTGGTTTCATGAATTATTCCTTTTTCATGCAAACTGTGACTGCACATGTGGTATGTGAACTTCAGGGTGGCATTATAGCTTTCTGCCCAGTTCTCAACACGTAATGTCACAGAACATTTTTTAGTTGCTTCTGCTCACTACTAAATATACTGTAGGTAAAATGTTACCTACAAAACTCAAATGTCTTTTATTCTTTTTGAATTTCTAGGCTAGATTTGTATTATCAACCTACAATCTGTATGACCTTTGTTGAAAATTCTGTGCAGCGTATATATTATGATTTTTAAACAAGTGGTTTTGCTCTTTGTTCTTTTATTTTATTCCTTTAGGAAGTGTTCTTATAATACTAGTGATATCATAGGTTTATTTTCAAGTACAGAATGCCATCAACAGTTGAGGTGAAGGCAGTCCACTCTTGTAGTTTTCTGTCAAATTGAGAAGTTATATTCAATAAATATTTTCTTGCAATGACCAAATTTTTAGCTAGCATCCCAGTAATTCATGAGCTCTAGCTTTCATAGGAGGAACAAAAGTACATTGTAAACTCTTACCTGAGATTATCAGTTATGTTTCATGGATTTCTTTATAATTCAGAAAACTTTAAAAATGTACCATTCTCTTCTCCAGTGCAGTTCTGGGTTTTACAAGACTTTTCTCCACATTCTTTGTGCATGTTTCTCTTTTTCAAACATTAAATGTTTTTTCCTTTGCACCTATCTGGAACTTGAGGGACTCCTAAGATAATTTATTATTTTTATCACTAATTCTTGGGCCCTGGGCTCTTATACTTTCAGAATTTTTACCGTCTTTTTACTTATAAATATTCATTGAAAGCCATGCATGTACTTTGCAGTTGTAGGGTGAAGGCCATGAGAGAGAAGCAGAATTAGTTTGTATAGAAAGGAGTCAGGTATCAGAGACTCTCAAAGAGAGAATCTGTGGGACTTGATGGTCATTTGAATGTGACAGATGCAGTCAAAGAGACATCAAAAAACTAGAGTTTTTGCTCAGCCAGCGTGGCTTGGTGGTTGAGCATTGTGACCAATGAACCAGGAGATCATGGTTTGACTCCGGGTCAGGGCACTTGCCTTGGTTGCAGGCTCAGTCCCCAATGAGGGGGCATGCAGGAGGTAGCCGATCAATGACTCTCTCATCATTGATGTTTCTATCTATCTCTCCTTCTCCCTTCCTCTCTCTGAAATTAATAAAGATATGTTAAAAAACAAAAAACAAAAAACTCTCCCAAAACCCTAGAGTTTTGATTATGATGGGCTTGAAATTGCATGCCAATAAGAGAATATGAGAATGGCTTGGTATGGAACATTGGACATGTAGAGAAAATGGGATTGATTTTGACCATTTAGGCACAAGACAGTCAGTGGGATATATGGTACTGGAGCTTCAGAGGGAAGTTGAGACTTTTAGCTTGTCCTCATAATTTGTGGTGTCCACAGAATGGATGATTCAGCTCTGAAGGCTGGATCTGCTTGCATGACGTATTGTCAGAGAGGCCTTTCCTAACCACCCTACCTAAATCCTTACTCCTTTCCCTACTCTTCTACTCTGGTTTATGTTTCTTGTTAGTACTTCTTGATTGATTCTATACACATTTGTTTATTATTGTCTATCTCCCTTCAGCAAGGCATAAACTGAGAGCAGAGATCTGACTGTCGTTTCCCCCACATCGTTATATCCCCAGAAGCTAGAATAGTTCCTAACAATCAAAATATTTGTTGAATGCCTGGCTGGCGTGGCTCAGGGGTTGAGCATCGACTTATGATCCAGGAGACTGAGGTTCGATTCCTGGTCAGGGCACATGCCTGGGTTGCGGGCTCAATCCCCAGAAGGGAGCGTGCAAGAGGCAGCTGATAAATCTCTCTCATCATTGATATTTCTATCTCTCTCTTTCCTTCTCCCTTCCTCTCTCTTTAATCAGTAAAAATATATTTAAAAAATATTGGTTGAATGAATTAAGAATAGAGCGGAAGGTGAAAATCTTAGAGGATATCTGCCTTTGAGGGGGTGGGGAAGTATTCTGTGAAAGAGATTGAAGAGAGAGGGACAATGGATGCAACCA